AAACAAACAAACTCTTCATTTATAGTTTGGATGTTTAGCACGGTGTCATCAAACTTGTCACTAAATAGTATTAGGAATTATTCAGTTCTAGTATTAAAGCTTTAACCAGTATTAACCAGTAACGAAGAATGCAAGATAGCAATGATCAAAAACAAGTCAAGTCAATCCCTGATAAACCAGAAGTTCATTGGGGCTAATTCACACACACACACACACATAAAGATCCAGAAGTTCACTGGGACTATTTCATACACACACACACATAAAGATCCTCACCATTGTATGGTTGTTTTAGCAGAGAACTGGATCCAATGGAGTTTGAAATTTACTATATCAACGTTACCATATTGGCTACCAAAATCTGACAAGTGACTTTATAAGTACTGTTCACCACTCTCGACCCACGTGGTCCAACTAACATAAACCAAATCTCTTAACACCAACTTGCTAGTGTAACAAGTTAAACGTAATTTGAATAAAAGAAAGTAACGCCTTGTCTGGGTTACTGCTAAATTTAAGATCAGATTAAAGTAGTCCACACCAAATGTGTAATTAAATTAAACTTGTACAGAATAAACAATGGTATAATAATCAGTAAAATCCACAAAGTCTGGAAATATTTCAATTCTACAAACCAAACTGAAGACATTAGTATACACTATATTATCTTTCTTTCTGAAATAGGCTAAACTAACCACTATTCCATTTACACGAGCAGTGTCACAAAATCTAAGAATGCTTATATTATACATAATTAAAATGTTCCTCATTATGTTCCATTAAAACAATACGTGTACCATGTTTTTCATATGAGGTGGTATGGAAATTCTGCAGACATTGTTTCCTTCAATGACAACCACATACTTACGAATATTTTAATTACAAAATATATATCAAAGATATTTTTATCATCATCACTTAATACACACAATACACGGTGTTTCACTCTCAGTGTGGTATAAAGTCACAACTATAGTATTTAATAAACATAAACGTTTCAGCTTTCGGATATTTTGCATGCATACAAGTAACTCAACATATATACGTATGATATTAAACGCGTACATTGCTATATATGTGTGTATAAAAATACCATATATGAAATATATATGTATACCTATAGTACATGATAGATCAACAATGACACATGCATGGTAAAAAATATTCACCATTATGGCTGAATACCAACATCTGTAGCTGTGCTAACGCTCCCATGCCACCATATAAGAGTTAAAAATAACTATTTCTTTGGTACTACATGAGAATGATGCAATCACAGATGAAAATTATGAGAAATAGCCGCTCCACCGCAACTCATAAGATATAGACCACAATTCCTGCCATCAACTACAACATATATACTTAGATATAAGCATACAGATTTAGGGCGATTAGCAGATATAGTAGTAAAATATATTCATTGTCCTATGTCTACTAGAAACTATAACATCTACTAATATACTCCTCTAAGGGTTGCACAAAACCCTCTATATCCAGCATCATGTGAAAATCCCCTCAGACAAAATCGAGAAAAAACAAGCCCAACAGCCCGTTTCTATCTTACGCTGTTAAAGAGCACTCGTGCTTTACTCTACATCTGGAAGACTAATACGGACCTATTAGAGCCAAAGGTATGATCTGATATATAAATATAATCTAAAACCGTATAAGCTAATAACAAATATATATAGATTTTATGGAGTTTCTCTGGTAAAGATCTACCAGTTACAAAACTCGATCAGGGTACTTCATTAGTAAGGATTGCAAAGTCCTTATAACCTTTTGAATATCAAAATGACTAGTAATCATGAACAGTTACACCAACCATTTGTGTTGTAGGATTATATCTGATAATCATAGTTGTTCTATCTATAGTCTCACGAAGTCTATACCTGAGAAATGCTACTAGGTGGCTTAAAAAACAAACATCAACAAATCTTTTCACTTGTTGATCTACATCAGGCAACTATTGTAGCTGCTGTACTGGAATGGCTAACATAAGAACCCTCGATATATTTTACCATGAAACTTCCCTCAGTACTCAAAAACGTAAGAGTTGACATTAATTTATGGAGATTGGATCTTTCAGATATTTCAACTGCTAACCCTTAACACCACGCTATCTGCTGATTGGTTTTAATTCCAACCATACTGATTTGGAGATTGATCTCAATGTCTTATCCAATCTCTTGAAGAGGCAGGCTGTTCTCCTATTGATTCACCTTCATTTGATTCATAACAAACAATCAGATAATTATCTACGTCTTAATCAGTTTAAGATTTTATGATGCAGTACTATTAGTGGCCCCTGATTCACCAATCTTCTCAACCTCTGGTTTCTATTCCAAATTATTCATGGGATTTTTATCACTGACATGGGGCTTTAGCTTTTCGACATGCTCAGCATGCTTCT